CTAAAGCATTCCAGGTAAAATTGTGTCTGTGGTTAAGATCAATGGATAAAACAACATATTAGGTTAACGCATCTTCTGGGAAAAAATGACTAAATTTATCTTAGTACTAAAAACCTACCTACTCTTTTTTCATGCATCCCTGGACTCTGATGTCATTATTGTGCAAGGGAGGAGGAAGAAAAAAGGAAAATAATGGGTAGATGGAGTGAAGACTACTCTAATAAGTTCCTCTCTACGGCTATCTAAGTAAAGCATTCTCTAAGTCTATCTTGAAAGAAATTTCTCTGGTATTGAAGAAGTAGAGCAGAGGAGGCAACATTGCTAGTCTGGATATAAAGATGGACACATTTATACCTTAACTAATAATAAAAAAAAAAGGAAAAAAAAAAGTCACAACAATATGTCCCCCAGAATGAAATCCCAGCCTCAAAGACAGTAGGCTATTAATGTTTTTGAAAAAACAGCATATAAGAGGCTGGAAAATTAGACAATTCTCCCAACATGGAAATGGTGGTAATGGTTACACTGTGTTGGCAATCTTCTTCAAGGGCAATTGGAATTTTTTTTAAAAGGCACAATTATTCAAAACATGTGACAAGATGATCTAGTACAGTAGCGGTTTTAAAACTTTATCTGTATTAAAGATCTGTTTGAGATCCATATCCACTTTGAAAATTGTTAACTATTATCAGGGAACATTCTGTACTCCGGGTAAATCGCTAATAAACTTCTCTCACCAATGGAGGAATGACAGTCTTATAACAACTGAAATAGCTTCCATGACTATCAAGCAATTCCAGCTACTACCAGGATTCCTTATACTTACCAGGAACCAGAATAGGACGCAAATCATTCTTAAAGGAGTCATTCTGAAAGAAAAGAAAGATCACTGGGAAGCAACTGGTTTGAGTTCCAAACACATATTTTGTTCATAGTAAGCCTTCAATAACTATTTCTTAAAATTAACGTGAGTGAACTTTATCACAATCACGCTGCCTTCTTGTGTGAGGCAAAGTGTACGGATGCCTTCTGGAAATCAGCCTTAGGAGTGAGTATGGTTTTTGCTTCTTCTTCTTTTTTTTAAATATATTTTATTGATTTCAGAGAGGAAGGGAAAGGGATAGAGAGATAGAAGCATCAATGATGAGAAAGAGTCATTGACCAGCTGGATCAAGCCCGCAACCCAGGGATGTGCCCTTGACTGAAATTGAACCTGGGACTCTTCAGTCCGCAGGCCGACACTCTATCCATTGGGCCACACCAGCCAGGGCAAGTTTTTGCTTCTTCTGTCACCTGTGGCCTCATATAAGAATGGGGAAGTCTTTTATCTTCCAGTCTAGAAATGCTGCTTGTGAAGAATGATTCAGTTTAATAAAATCTGAGGATTCTTTCTCCAACAAATAAATAATACCAAAAAAAGAAAAAAGAAAAAGGAGAGGTGGGGAAAAGGAAGTATTAGAGATTAAAGAGTTAAAGAGACATATCAACTGAACATAATGTGTGGATCTTTTTAGGTCTTGATTTCAACAAAATAACTGTAAAAATGCATTTTTGAGGCAATCAGAGAAATTTAATATGGGTTGAGTATATGATATTAAGGAATTGTTTTTCAATGTGTTAGCTTTCATAATGACATTGTTTTATATTATAAAAACAAAGGGTTCATGTTAGAAATATATATTGACGTATTTACAGGTAAAATTATGTAATGCCTAATATTTGCTTTAAATTCCTTCTCTCTTAGGAAGAAATAGGTAGATGAAATAAGAGCAGCAGAACGTTGATAACTGTGGAAAATGAGTGATGAGTATGCAAAAGTTCAGTATATTGTTCTAATTATGAATATTTTAAATTTTCCATAGAGTTTTCTTCTTCTTTTTTTTTTACAGAAATGTTACTCTTTTTTTTAATATATTTTATTGATTTTTTACAGAGAGGAAGGGAGAGAGATAGAGAGTTAGAAACATCGATGAGAGAGAGACATCGATCAGCTGCCTCCTGCACATCTCCCACTGGGGAGGTGCCCGCAACCCAGGTACATGCCCTTGACCGGAATCGAACCTGGGACCTTTCAGTCCGCAGGCCGACGCTCCATCCACTGAGCCAAACCGGTTTCGGCAGAAATGTTATTCTTAAAAATACAGCTAAAGAGGACAGAGCTGCCCTAGCCGGCTTGGCTCAGTGGATAGAGCGTCAGCCTGGGGACTGAAGGGTCCCAGGTTCGATTCCCATCAAGGGCATGTACCTGGGTTGCAGACACATCCCCAGTAGGGGATGTGCGGGAGGCAGCTGATCAATGCTTCTCTCTCATCGATGTGTCCAGCTCTCTATCCCTCTCCCTTCCTCTCTGTAAAAAAAGCAATAAAATATATATTTTTTAAAAAAAGAGGACAGAGCTGCGTTTGATTTGTAATAAGACTTCAATACATGCACTTATTATTTTAGGCTAATTTTCCCAACCCCCAACTTTTGTGATACTGTCCTATTACCACACAGTGCCCAAAATCAAATAAACACATTAGTACAATACTTAGAATCATTATTAGCAGTATCTGGTAGTTACTCTGTCCTAGGATAGAATGAACCCCCTCAGTAGCTTCTGAGGCTAATATATTTCTATCACCACAATTACTTTAGCAAACCTGGTTGCCTTCATTTCTGCAACATCATGCAGAGTTAGTGATTCTTCTTTTTATTCTTAAATCCGAGGACTTGTGCCCTTGGTGGTGTTGCCAAGTGGTTAGGCCCACAAACCAAAGGGTTACAGGTTCGATCCCCAGTTGAGGTTTGTGTGAGAGGCAACCAATCCATGTGTCTCTCTCACATGGATGTTTTTCTCTCTCTCTCTCTCTCTCTCTCTCTCTCTTTCCCCAGGGGCCCCTCCCTTCCTCTCTCCCTCCCACTCTTTCTAAAACTCAAAGGAAAAAATATTCTTGGGTGAGATTTAACACACACACACACAACCAGAGGACTTGCACTCCAAAAGTAGAAGCTGCACAATACACAAGGTGTTAATTCAGACAAATAATTTCAACAAGGAGTTTATGCCTAAAATATAAAATCTCAAAAACAGCTCCATGGGGCCCGATATGAATAATAAAACTATTTCTTTTTACTTCACCCTGAAGGAACAAGGAGGGAAGAAAATGAATGCCTGTGGCTCTTTACTTTTTAGGTATTTGACCGCTCTAAATCTGTATATACACCCAAGTTATGAGATGTTTATCCTGTTTTCAGCATGAGAGTAAACTGTTTTCACTACATATAAATTGAATACATCTCATCTTCAATTCGAGTCTAAATCACTGTACATTTGTCGAGCTCGCACAAATGTTCTTTGCAGTCGATACCGTGCTATTGTCCAGAGGTTGATGAAAGGCTGTATGTGGCCCTATTTTCTCATGAATTTCAGCACAAAAACACATTAAATATAAGCTAAATAACTGCCTTAAAAAAAACCTCACAAAGATCATTTTTCCACTCAAAAGGCCCATTTAGAAATAGACGCTAGCAGTACTGACAGTCTCATTTCAGATTCAACTTCCTTAGCCGTACTGACCTGTCTTCCCGGAGGAAGGGATGAGAAACAAGGGACAGAGGAAGGCACAGGTAGAGGCTCTGGCGCAGATATTGGTGATGCCCGAACTGGTTCACCAGGTCCTGCTACAGCTCCCCCACCGCCGTCAAGGGCGCCTTTCTTGTCCTCCTCGGTAAATCCAACACTAACCGGGTCTGCGGGGGCTTCCGCCTGAAGCAAGAGGGCGAGAATAATATCGGGTCCTCGATTTATTACACATTTGTTTATTGCATCCCTACTACAGGCCAAACTCCTTGGAAAACCCTGGGGAAGAAACAGTGAGCAAAGAGACATGGCTCCTGCCCTCGGGAAACAGAATCTAGTGTAAGTCAGGGACAGTGCACAGCAACCTCGGGCTTTCTGCCAGACACGCTTCTCCTTTCCCCCTGTTTCAATGACTGTGTTCTGAGTACCTATGGGGTCAGACACTGTGGTCCACCAGCGATGCAGAGCTAAGCCTAAACATGCATCCTGATGTCTACAAGAACGTGTAGCGAATCTTATCAGGGGTAAACTCTTATAAACCAGGCACAGTTCTGGGGATGCCACGATGAACGCAACAGACGAACGTCCCTGCCCTCCTGGAGCTGATGATATTCCAGTGGGAGAGACAGATAATAAACAAGATCACTAAGCGTGTTAGATAAAGACAGGAGCGATAGAGAAAAAATATAAAGCAGGGAGAGGGAAGAGGTGGACATTTTAGAGAAGGCAGCTAATAAGGGCCTCACACTGAGAATGGGTGTGGGCAGCCTCCTCAGTCCTAGGAAAGCCATTGTCTATTATTCTAAGTGAAAGAAAAAGCCGCTGGGGGGGGGAGGGGCACTTAAAAGCAGAGGTGTGACATCATCTGACTTGGGTACTAACCAGATCTCTGAAGGCTGCATTGAACATCCAAGAATGAGGAAGAGGAGTAGAGAAGCAGGAAAAACAGTGAAGAGCCTCTTGCAATCATCCAGGGAAGAGGTTGGTGCAGGTTATCCCAGGATACTGTCAGTGGAGATGGTGAGAAGGGGCAGGATGCTGCCTATATGTAGAAGGTGGAATAACCAGGACTTGCTGAAGATTGGTTGGGGGCTAGCAGTTGAGAGAAAGGGGGGAGTCAAGAGGTATCGAGATTTTTTGCCCTAGCCTAGCATCCCCATGCACTGTAGAATGAATGGGTTCTTGGAAGGGGTAAGTCTTACCTGGTAAGAGCACATGTTAAGTTTGAGATGCCTCTGAAATATTCAAGTAAAGGTATTTATATCAAGAAAGTGGGTGGATATATGAGGATGGAGTTCATACCAGCCTAGAGGCCATAGCTATATACTAGTATGACTAGAAGTCCTCACCATTAAGATGGTATTGAAAACCAGGATGTTAGATAAAATCACCTAGAGAGTAAGGAAGAGAGAGAAGAGGTCCAAGGCTGAGCCCTCGGGCACATCTTGACTACCATTTCATGTAGCGTTTACTTCTTCACAGTCCCTTTTGGTATTATCTCTATTTTTACAATGTGTCATTTCCCCCCCCCCCCA